CATCATGTGATTTGGCGCAGTTTCCGCGGAGCTGCGGCATAAAATATTTGTCCAAAGACTTTTGCACCAGACTGTATATAGAAAATTTCAATGCTATGCAAATAGCAAAAAAAAAAATGGAACATAGCCTACTATAATACAACAATTTATTGACAAATACAAGACAGGAAATACTGAAAATTTATCACAATAATTATAAACTTGTAAATAAAATTACGAAGAACCGACATGCACCTTTGCACGGAATCATTAATACACTGGATTTAACTGTTAAACAGACACTATACCATAACTGGAATTTACTCCGCAAAAAAAGCCTTTTGTGTCAGAAAGGCATGCATCTGTTCATATTAGTTGTGGAAAACATAAAGATAAAACAGCTTACAATTGGGTACAAGTTATTTCTCGGATGAGATTGGACAAATAATAATTTGGTGAGATGTAGGGAAAATTTTTAATACTGAATGCTTGACACAACTTTAAAAGTGGTCAAAAATCGTTATGATTTGGGTGCTTCATGGGAGAAATAAAAGGTCATTAATTTTTTGTGATGAAAACAAAGAAGGAATAAAAGAATCAATTCAAATACATATGTTACAATCATAAATTCATATTTAATTTAATTTCAGCATACAATTTATAAGTTAACAAGGAGGTCGTAGTTTTTCAACAGAATAGTGCACAAATACATACCGTAAAAATAACCAAAGAATTAATCAAGACAAATATATTGGCAATTATTGATTCCCCAGATCTAAACCTAATAGAGAACAATTAAAGATAATATAGAAAAATTCGGATTGCTCTGTTTTTGAAGAGGTTGTTGCCTTGATGTTGTGAATAATTAATGCAATACTAGAAGGCCAACAAAATATTAGTTATTACAGAAATATTTTTTTATGTACAATTTATAAAAATTAATAAAATTTTGCCATTTTCTGCTTCAATTGATCAAAAACAAAAGGTTCTTTATTGCGATTGTAATGATAAACCATTTTATTAATAATATAAAATCAGGTAATTTTCGTTAAATACGTTCGCTAAATTTTAAAATATCTAATATTATCTAAATATTTTCTAATACTTTCTAATTTTTTCTCAAATTTTTCTTATATTTAATTTACTCTCACAACTATTTAAAAATTTCATACTATTTATTGTTAAGGAATATCCTATATGAAAAGGGATTACACATGAAATTTCTTTTAGAAGATTTTATTATTAAACATATCCGATTTATTTAATTAAATAAAGTTCTAGAAGTTCCCCACTAGTTTACTGGAATGACATATATCCAGTCATGTTTGGATATTTATCATAAGAATTTATCAACAAAGGATTTTTATCCAATCAAAAATTATTATTTAACTACTTTTTAACTTCTAACAAAAAATTGTTGAACATGTACATATATTTATCTATTTTTAAAAAAAAAATCTTAACTTTACAATTGTCTAACTAATCAACTCAATTTATTTCTTTAATTAATTGAAATAAATATATTACCAACATTTGATCTACGAATAAGTCATCCATTTGTACCATACCAATGATATACCTACTAATGATCCTATTATAATAATTATTTGTGCCGTGGATAAACTAGTTGAGTTATCACCTGGAAGCATTATATATGTTAAGCGCAAAAAAAACCTCCACATATTTGTGATCTATTACCTACACAACTAGAACTGCAATGTTCTGGACTTCTTTGGAAGCAAATCATTACCGCAAAAAAAAAAAAATTGATTTCCAGCTTCTAATCCTGAACCCTTGCTATTACAGTACTTTATGCACTTATCAATTGTATCTTCAACTTCTTTCTCATGCACTTCAATATTATTTAATATCCTCTTATAACAGAACTATCTTTAATGCAAGCTAAAAATCGAGGTTTATATCGAAGATTGCTAATATTTTTGAGATTACTAATTATGTCAAGTTTTTCTTCTATATTTATATTCCCCCCCCGTTTTTACGGCACTTTGGTATCCCAATCTTTACATGTTTATTGATTGGTTGTATGTATTGATTATATTAAGATTAATATTAATATTTCTAAGAGTCCGATTCAATTTACTCACGTCGCCCTTTATTACAGGTTGTGATCGCTATCCTATTATCATTATCATTATTATTTGGATTATTACTATTATTATTATTTACATTTTCTCCTAAATCTATTATATTAAGATTATTATTTAGGAAAACGCACACTTATTGGTTACTACCAGTGTTCCTTTCTGTGTTAAACGTGTCGGAGTCACTAGGAGGCCCCACTTACTCTTAGTTCTAGTGAATCTATCCAGCCCATCATTTGTTGCATGGCTGTAACGATTTTATCAGTCGTTGCAGATGCTGGGCTCGTCTACATTTGCTTCCATAGCATTCCACACGTGTTCTTCAAGATGTGACAAACGTTCTGTGATTTCTAACAACATGGATTTCGATTCTTTCTAACCTGTCATCGTTCGAGATATTCGTTCCTTTACCCAACGACGTGTTTTGTTTTCTCACCATACTTGTCATTAGTCGTACAATTATAATCAAGACAGCCTGCACAAGTTTTATTACAAAATGTACCGTCTATTAGATTATACGAAGGCTCAATAGTGTCGTTTCCACAATAACACTCGCTTCCTTTTTTTGATAGCGGCATATTTAAAAAGCAGTCACCACAATGGATAGTATACGATATGGGATCCATCAAGGCAGGATACAAATCTTCATCCGTAAACTCGTCTTTATAACGATTAGAAAAACTTAGACCTGGACGATTTAGCAAACTAAGTCCATTAAGAGTTTCATTGGAAGTTCCCTTTAACTCATAACATCTCTTTAGAGAGCCATAAGGAACACCTCGTTAAATTTGAGTTTTAAAACCCATTTCCTAAACATAGAAAAGGAAGAATTAAAAATATTAGTATATTTTATTTTAATATCGCTCTTTCCATTAAATTTCTTTCTCAACTATAAAGATAAGTACAATACTAAAATCTCAAGTTTCTTCTAGCTATCAGAAATTTAGGTAAGTATACCTACTAAAATTCACTTGCAAAGCAAGGGTACTTATGTGCCAGTCTCTAGATTCTTACTTTGGCTTTATAGATTATTCGGAATTAGAGGTAAACACAGATTACCATTATTATGAATATTATAAAAACATTAATTACATAAAAAGAAATTCATATAAATCTTAAGAGATTTATTATATCGCTCATTTTGGAATCATTAAAGCGTATATTATTTTGTACTTCCAACAAACGGTCACGGATTAGGGGAGCTTTGTTTCACAGAATAAAAATATATTTTTATATCAAATACCATTATGGATTTGATCCTTTTCCGTCCGTATTTGAAATTTTGATTAGAGACCATTAGTCGAAATATATAATATATTTTTAACAAAGCAGAATAAAGAATATCGCGGTTTCAAAGTTTGTGGAGTCCGAAGAAGAATCATTATCACCAAGATTTTCCCGAGCCCATGTCGGGACCTGAGGAAATAATTATGGTAGAAGAAGAGCCTAACACCAAAGACTAATACTGAAAAAAAATAATTTTTTTTTTACTACTAATCGAATATGTAGGATTAATTAAATAAAAATATAAAAAAAATAAAATTAATTATTTTGACTTTGAATGAATGAAATTTGCATAATAAAATTGTTTTTATGATCTTTTCAATTATCTTTCGAAAAAAATTTCTTCTCTAGTGCGGTTTGACACTCTAAAAAGAGAATTATTGACTCAAATATACTAAAATACAAAATAATCCCTTCTACCCGTTGACCAGACTCATATCCAAAAAAAAATAAAGATAAATGACCTATCTCCTAACCCACAAAATAAACAATTAAAAATAATTAACCTGTACGCTGATTTGTACTCAGGTATTCAAAAGTAGTCAAAAAAAAAAAAAATCCAAAATGCAAAAAGATTAAATCTTCATTAGTATCATCTAAATAGATAAGTAATTTTAGTATTTCATTTATAAAATTTTTATATGTTATTTTTTAATAATAATAATTACTTTCGATATTTTATTATTTATTTGATTACAATCTAGATAAATAAATTTATTAAGCTTTAGTGAATAATATTGTAGTTTGTTTCTTTCAAAAATTTAATTTTTTTACTTTTTTGTACACGAATGGAAATAATATATTTTTAGAAATACTTAATAAAAATAATAATAGATGCTAAAAGTATATACTTTACTGATTTGAATTTTTAGCCTTCGCACTAGCATCAACGGATGAAACCAATTTTTTTTTTTCAAAAAACCCAGATGAAAAAAAATGAAAGAAAAATTTAATTCTGCCCAGTGGTGACAATCACCACTGGTGATCTTTAGCAATTTTCTTTTCAATTTACTTGGCGTAATTGATTATTGGTGATAAAAATTGTCCAAGATAAATTATTCAACTATAATTTAATATTATTATTATCAGCAGTTTAGACATACTTTATCGATATTAATATTATTATACAATAATAGAATGATTATCTATCTAAAGAATATGAATGATCAATTGAAGGAGCATAATTAAATAATTAATTATGATACTGATAAAAAGTTCTTATTTTTTTTTTTATTCTCTTTATTTAATTAAAAATAATACCACAAATTATAATATTCTTACTAGTACAAGAAACTTCTCTATTGACGAATAGAAATATAAATAAAGTAAATAATTTCACAAAAAATATATTTATTCTATTATCATTTATCACTTAATATATTTTACTTATTATTGCTATTTGCTAATTCTATTACTGTTCAAATAAACAAAAATCGTTATATTCTATTTATGATAATTCACGAAATGGAAATTCCTATAAATTGGAATAAATTTGGAAATTCTGACCTATGAATTGACTGCTTATATTTAATAAATCTTACCATCAATCGGAATCCTATTCATGATAAATCTGTCTCATTTTTTCCATTTGACTAGTGATAAGAAGCTTTCTTAAGAATATCGAATTTGGAATTACTTCAACTTCAACTTTAGGTTGATTTTGTATTTTTCGAATTGTCAAAGTTTAAGAATAATTGGAGGGCAAGAAGAAAGAAAAGAAAGGGAATACAAGAAGAATAAAAAGGAGCAGGAGTAACCAGAGGAGGTAACAGAAGAGATAAATTTTTCTTAAAGCAGCATAGGTTTGAAAATGGGTTTAGGCATTTTACAAATTGAAAAGAAAAACTTTTCTTTTTATATCTTATAATAATTATTTATATTAACTTAATAAAATATATAGTAAAATATAAATTATGTATAGTAATAGTTTTTTTTTTTTTATAATACAGAGATGAGATAAGATAAGATATGCAGCGAAAAAATTTCCCCATAGGTTGAAAATCACTAACCAAAATTTCTAAATATGTTAAACATTGTCTCCTGACTCCGAAAAAAATCTAAAAAATAATAATAGAAATTTTTTTTGTTAATTGGTGCTGAGTCATATAATGATGTATGACGTAACATATTTCAAATTATAATCTCTATGTAAGACTGCGACAATTATGTAATAATTATCGATTTCTCTATACATGCTTTAGTTATGCTCTCTCTGTCTTCGAAATATACTTTTTATTAAATTAACTACTAAAAATTTATTATAGCACTTAAAATAATTTTCATTTCCTCAGACTTCTTTTAATAATTCTTATCAATAGTTTCACTATATAAACTCTTTTGATTACCCGATTGAACTCCAACAATCACACATACTAAAATATGTTTAATATCACGATACTATTTTAACGTACATGGAGTTATTCAATTAGCAAAAATACAAAAATCATCTTCCCATTTTTCGTCTAATAAAAGTATTAGCTAGAAACCTCAAAATTTATATTTTATTTTCAAAAATATATTACAATAAAAAGAAAACTGTTTAAAAATCATCGAATATTTCTCACATTGACTTAATAGCTTTAAACTTGGAAAATTATATAAATTAAGAAAATTTTGTCTTTTCAAACTCTAATAACTTCCGTGAAAACAAAATTTGAAAAACTAGTCCCATCCTAAATTATGTATTCTGAATATAACTAATATAACTCTAATAACTTCTATGAAAACAAATTTTGAAAAATTAAAAATATTAAATTATGTTCCATTAGAAAATTTAGGCAGGAAAGATAATTATTTGTTTAGGGAATTATTTTCAGAATTCTTGGAACCAGTCTAATTTGTCTCCTGACCACAAACCCATTTATTGTATTTTATTTGCAACAGAATCTCTTAATCGACCCATCTTCTTCCATATTCCTTTCGATCACAATCGGCTTTTCTACACCCTCCACTTTCCATTTCCGAATATATACTATCACCACACCAATGACTATTAGACCTACAACTAATCCTACTGTTATACCAATTATTTTTTTTGTTTTGGATGAACCAGTTGAGTTATCACCCTCATTTTTAATATCAACCTTGGAAGCATTATATACGCTAAGCGCAAAAAAGCCTCCACATATTTGTGATCTATTACCCACGCAGCTACAGCTGCAATGTTCTAGATCTAAATTAATATCTTTGGAAGTAAAATCATTACCGCAAAAACATTGATTTCCTGCTTCTAATCCTGCATATCCAAAGATACCTTTGCTATTACAGTACTTTATGCACTTATCAATTGTATCAACTCCCGTCTCGTACACTTCAGTACTATTTAATATCCTCTTATAACAATCAGAACTATCTTTAATACAGTTTAAAAAGCGAGGTTCATATCGAGGATTATTTCTATTTTTGAGATTACTAATTATTTCAAGTTTTTCTTCTATATATATATTTCCCCCGTCTGTTGGCACTTTGTTATCCGGAATCTTTACATCATAAACTGTGTAAACAGTTTCCCCACCACACTTGTCATTAGTCGAACAATTATAATCAAGACATCCTACACAAGTTTTATTACAAAATGTATTGTTTATTTGATTATACGATGACTCAATAGTATCGTTTCCACAATAACATTCATTTCCGTTTTTGAGAGCTGCATATTTAAAAAAGTAGTCACCACAATGGATAGTACATGATATGGGATCCATCAAGGCAGGATACAAATCTTCATCCGTAAACTCATCTTTATAAGGATTAGAAAAACTTAGACCTGGACGATTTAACAAACTAAGTCCAAAAAAAGTTTCATTGGAATTTTCCTTTAACTCATAACATCCTTTTAGAGAACCATAAGAAGCACCTCGTTGAATTTGAGTTTTCAAACAAAGGTCCTGCCCATTTACTAGACATAGAAAAAGAAGAATTAAAAATATTATTTTCATTTTAATATATAATATATGTGTTTTAATAAGTTCAAAAATAAGAATATCGTTCTTTCCGCTAAATTTCTTTTCTCAACTATAAAGAAAAGAGCAAGGTTTAAATAAAAAAAATTTACTAATAATAAGTATGGAATGATAAATAGCAAGACCTCCGCGAAAATCAAAACTGCCAGGCAAACAAAAACAGTAAAATTATACTGTGCTGTATAATTGTGCATAATGCACGACAAAATTCGGAAACTAAGATAGGTACTCCTATCAAGTCTTCTGATTCTTTCGAAACAAAAAGATAAGGACAATACAAAAATCTCAAGCTTCTTCTAGCTATAGGCAGATTCTTTCTTTGGCTTTAAAGATTATTCTTATTATGAAGATTATTAAAACATTAATTACATAAAAAGAAATTCATACAATTATTATATCGCTTATTTTAGGTCATTAAAGCGTATACCTCCAAAAATCGGGAGTACGAAAAATTAAACTTTTCATCCGGATTATATAAACTTCTGCTTTAAGATTCATAAATATATATATATATATTTATAATAAAAAATATATTCATTTAGTACCCAATTTAAATCGAATGTTTTTGTGTAATGCAGATCGCTCAAATCCAGAAAAGGAAATATTAACAATGGCCTTTTCTGAATTTGGGCCCTATCATGTGTAAAATTTATACCGTATAATCCGTATAATATAAAAACATCTCTTTGTATTACTGTGTATATTAAACTAATGATTTGAGAGATCGATTTTACAAATGTACTGATAAAAGTATACTCATTAAATTGATTTATTTATTTAAATAATAGTACAAGTAATAATAACGACAGCAGATTATATTATTACAAGTAATATTAAAAGTAGGATACGATTCTATTAATAAAATAGTAATAACAATTTTAATAATGTCTCGACTTGGATAATAATTACAGTAGATGCTATTTTATTATTACAAGAAACTTCTCTCTCATGATATAAATAGAATTTCTAATAATAATAATAAAATAAATAAATAAATTTATTCTATTATCATTTATTATTACAATATATATTGATTATTTGTTATATTTTACTTACTAATTGAAATTATTATGCTATTGCTATTGTATTGTTGTTAATATTCCAATAATAATATCTACTATCAATACCTGAATATCTAATAAGTTAAAAATAAATAAACAAATTAAAAATAAAAATGAATAAGTTATAAATGATAAAATGAATTTTTGTAATTTACTTGAATAATTTTCTATACACTAAGAACTAAGAGTAGAACTAGTAGAACTAATAATAGTAGTCCTGGAGAAGGAAGAAACAGTTAAATTTTAAAAATCAAGCTAATACTGCAGAATTAAGTAAATTAAATTTTGAAGTAGCATTATCACAATTGTCTTTGTTATTATTATATTTATTTTATTTTTCTTTTGAACTTGTTCAACTCCTAAATGATATTTAATATATTTAATACATCCTGAAAATCCATCAAGAAAAACTATCAGATTAGGAAATAAAACATCATTATTATTATCATTGTTTTTATTATTGTCCCCTTTACAATAGAGATTGGCACATCACAAATGAGACAAATAAAAACTCTTTTTTCATTAATACAAGAATACTGTTTAGATGTTTTGATAATGTTGATATTTGAAAGAAAGTAATCTTGTTTATAATTTATGTTGGCACATTTGTGTTGTATATATACTTATAAATGACAAAAAACTGAAAGTCCAAAAATTTAACTAATATATATTTTTAGTAGAGATGAATTCAAAGGGAAAATGTCATTGCTTTTTTGTAGAATATAATATACATGTTGTCAAAATTGTTTTGGCATAGTAAAATAATTTAATATTTGGAATTAAAATTTGGAATTTGGAATCTGAAATTTTAAATAATGATAATTCTTAAATATAACACTTACTATAATTTATACAACTGATTTACACTATTAATAAATTATAATAAAAATTCAAATAAGAAATATAAAAATAAGCTAATATACATTTTGAAATTTTGATCTTCTATACAAAATTTTGGACATACAGTAATGTCAATTTGAGTTTGAATAAATATTTTAGAATGATGCAGATAAATATTTTGGATAATACAGATAAAGTTTATTAATATATCATATAGTGCAGAAAGTTTAAAACCATCCAATTTTTTAAACTATAAGTTCTAGATAAAGATAGTATCTCTAATTATTTTTTCAAGTCCTTAATATTGTGAATTTTTTAAATGAAATTACAGTACAGATCCACATTTTCACAATTACAGTAATTGTGAACTTTTGTATAATAATGATTCTATTTTTAGAATTTCCATGTTCCTGGTTTCAAAATAATATTTTTTTTATCACAATTGGATACTTGTACACAAAATCAAATGTGTAATTCTGAAATTAATTTTGGAAAAAAAAGTCAAAAAAGTTTTTTATAAAAAATAAAATTATTTTATATAAAAGATTTCTATTTTTTAATTAAAAATATATTTAACTAAATACTTTTTTACTTCTATATATTGTTACCCTTCTAATCCTTAACTTTGTAGAAAGATAACAGTGACAAAACTTAAACTATTAAACTAATTTACTACTTTAATAATCATACAAATATAACTTTAACTAACAATTAATTGAACTAAAAAAGGTATGGGTAAAGAAATTATGATATAGTCAATTATGAAAGAGATGATTCAACTATTAATAGTGATATATGGACTTGTTAATAGACAAAACAATTGATCCTCCTAAAGTCACCTCCTATATAATCACTCCTCCCCTTAAATCACACTTGTACTTAGTTCTGATTTTTTATATTATACATGTTCCCAAAATTGATTTTGAATTTTTGAAGTATTTCAACTTTTTGAGATTTATGCAGAATCTATTCTATATATAGAAATAAAAAAAGTGCCTAATTATGTATATATTCAATCAAAGAATAAATCTGAATGGTCAAAAAATTTTGAATTTTAAGTAAAATAATTTCATCTTCTATGAAAAACTATTTTAACTTTTTTTCTGAAATTGCAATTTCGGAATCCAAAATAATTTTGCGGACAAGTATATTTTATATATAAAATTTTCTCTTTATAGTCACAATATTATATATAAATATAATTACACCACTTGTAAATTCTGATGTTATATAAATATATAAAAAATTCTTTTATATAATCACAGGATTTTTTAGTGCAATTTGTGAAATCTACAAAATCTATATTATGCAATTTCGCAATACACAATGTGCAGTGCATGCAACATACTGTTACCCTTGATTTTGCCTTTATTTTTTATTATTTATTTATATATTTTATATCATATATTTATTATTTTATTATTATTTATTATTTATTTCTTATTATTTTATAATATTACAATAGATAATTTATTAGGCTATAGTACAAATTAAATATTATTACTTAAATTAGTAAATTTCTAAATTCTTGTTAATCTGTAACACTAGAATATAAATTAGAGTACTAGTCATAGTACAAGTTGATATTTCAGTTAATTTACAAGTTAAATTAATAGTTAAGATACTAGATAGGATATTAACATAGATGCTAGTATAGTTTTCAGTTAGATTACAAATTAACTTTACAGTTAATTCTATAATGTATATAAAGGCTGAGAATTTCTCAACTTAGTCTTCAGTTCAAAAAGTTCAGTCAGTCAGTTCAATTAGTTTTCACTGCAGTTCTTTAAAAAATTTAGAATTAGGATTTATTAAATAATAAAATTAATATTACAAAATTCTTTGAGTTCCTTGTTTATTGTATTCTTTTGATAATTAATAAATTGTTTGTTCCTATTAACAAGTCTTCATGTCACTATTAATACACCTCTTTCATAATTGATTATATATAATTCCTTCTACACATAAACCTTTTTATTGTGATTGTTTTATTTGAGATTAATAATTTTATAGTTTTTTTTGTTAGTTTTAGTAATATTTAATCCTGTTGTTAAAACAATTTGCAGATGTAATTGTTTTATTAATTAATTTATTGGATATATTGAGATAATTATATATATATGTAAGATTATGTGTACAGACAGATAGACAAATTTTGTTATAGAGCTGTAGTATACTTAAAAATATAAGTCTTTTCCTTTACTATGTTCCAAACAATAAATTATAACAATTAAGATAATAAATTTGGTTTTTATCATTGTAATAAATTTGAAATAAAATTTGAAACAATAAAATATTTTAATTGTCAATTATTATAAACTCTTCCCATTAATCACTTGTACCAAATATTCCCACAGTAGAGAAATACAATTTTTCACTGTAGTTATATATAAAACTTAGTTATTTTTCTATCTTTTTTACTCGTATGAATAAGAAAAAACATAAATACAATACCAGAAGTATTTCTGGTCAACAGGATAATAACAACAACCAAGAAAATGAAGAAAATATGAATTTTATTCCTACAGCTAACAACATACAAAATGAAAATAATACAACTATGAATATAGAAGAAGAAATAAAGGTACCTTTGGTACCAGTGCACGCAA